AAGCTGGAGGTCTACCACTCCTAAGTGCAGTATCAGTACAGTTTTCTTTATTGTATTTCGTAATTACATCATGGACAGTAGATTTTGGTTTGCCAAGAATTTCCAAGATGTTTCTTATGCTATGTCCGCTCTTTGATAAACCTACGATTTTTTCACGCTCAAAAGGTGTAAGCTCGCAGGTTTTTGGCATCTTTATGTATTGAAATAATTATTTATAAAAAAATTTTTTTTATTTAAAAAAGCGAAGCCGTAAGATTCTAGAAAAAAAAAAGAATAACGAATTTAGTTAGAAATTGGGTGTTCTATTATTATTTAAAGATTGGCAATATACAGTTAAATTTGTGCAATATCACAATTGTTCAGATACTTTTGTCCTGTGTGTGTATATACTACAAATTATATTTATTAATAATTCCTATTTTATCATCCTTTCTCATAATTCTTTTCTTTTATAAATGCAGTTAAATTATTTACTTATGTAATTAAATTTTACATATATATTTAACTAATTTTTCTATTAATCTCTCATAATATAATTACATGTATCTTTATGATTTCTAAATATATTTTCTAATTATAGTAATATTTACTAAATCAAATATTTATGAAATAGTTTCTTATAAGCTATTTATAATTTCTTGTATAAATAATCTATTTTTGAAATTTTTTTTATATATATTGAACACTTTAAGTTTAATATTTACTTTATAGATTTCTTTCTTATAATTTTTTTTTTTATTTTTTTAGTTTTTCTTTTAAGACAGAATTAAAATAATTTTTTAAAAATATAATTTATTGTATTTATTATCTTTTATCTATTTTTATTAATAAAAAATATTGATTTTATAATTGGTTATTTTCTTTTAAAATTCAGATTTATCTTTTTACAATAAGAGTATTTTTAACCTATACTGCATAATTTATATTATTATTAAAGATAAAAATAGCTATTGTATTAAAAAATTTATTTCAAAAATAAAAATTACTTTAGATTTAATCTATTATAACAAATGCTTAAAAATTTAATAACCTTTCTAATTCTTACTAGATAAAAGATAATAATATATTCCTATAAGTTTTTTATTACTTTTTTTTTATTAAATTCAATTAATTACAAGCTTTTAAAAAAAACTTGCTTATTATAATTGATTTCCTGTTTTTTTTCTTTTACAATGGCATTTTACTATCAGCTATTCAAATTTTTTTCTATTATTTATATAAAATATATACTCATCATAAGTAATAAGAATTAACTTTTATTTATTTAACCTAAATATTAGTAAAATTACTGGCATTTTTTATTCTTTATATTTTACTATTTATTGTTTTAATTTTTTCTTTACTTTTAAAAATTCTTTTTCAATATATAATAATATCTTTTATTTATATCAATCAAAGATAAATATTTTTTGATATACGTTAAATTAGTATTTTAAAAAATATATTTATTTTTAGCAGTTTTTATACTGATTATTTTCTAGATTCCTATATGTTTAAGTAAAATAAAATCTTTAATATATTACTTAAATAAATCATATTAATATTATTTAAATCTAATTTTATTATAATTATTATTACAAATTCAATAAAAAATCATATTATTAATAAATTAATAGTATTTTTAATATTTATCACAATATAAAACTGAAAAAGATTTAAGATTCAAGTAAAATTTTGTTAAAAATTAAATTTATTTAATGGTATATAGCTTTAAAATAATATAAATTAGTTGCATTACCTTTTTATTAGCTTTTATTTTTTATAATTATTATTTATCCATTTAAAATATTTATAGATAGTATGTTATTTATTATATTTGAAGATAAAAGCATTTTTTCATTCTTTAGAATTCATCTTAAAGTTATACAAATTTTATATAAAAAATTAAATTTTTTATTTATTTTAATAAAGATCCAGATGATACAAATGATATAAAAAAAGTGATAATAAAGATAAGAGTGAGAATAATAAAGATGAAGATAGATACAGAAATAAAGCTAAAGAACCACTATTAAACTTACTAATACACTTACTTAAAGATACTGAAAATTTAGATAATAAAAAAAAATTATCAGCAGATCTATTGCTATCTTAAAAATTAATAATAAAAAATATTTAATTTAAAATTCATTTATATAATAATTTTAGATATTTCTTTAAAAGCATTATCAAATATATAGAAAGTATATAATAGGTTATTTTAGTATTCTTTTTGTTATTTATTTATTATACATATTTATTTTATATGAGCTTTATTAAAAGTAAATATGTTTATATCTCTTTTTTCTCTTTTCACTCAGTTTTTTCTTTTTAGTAAAAAAAAAGTCATCTTCTTTTATTATATTCTTATAGTCAGATAAAATTTTTTCTCTATAGCATTTTATAATATCAAGAAATATTTTTCTATTCTAAATATTTAATTATATTTAATATTATTAATTAATAAAATTTTATATATAATTTATTTGATCAATCTTAAAATGAAAAATGATAATTAACTAGGAAATGAGAACTATTATATATCCAAAATGAAAAAATAAATCTTTATTATTATTATTACCTAATTATACAAATATTGATTGTTATACCTAATTCCAAAATTTAATTAGGCATTTTTATATAATGATAAATAGACATTACATAGTCTTGAGTATACATAATATTCCTCTGCTATACTTTAGACAATTAAAAAATTTCATTTAATAATACTGTATATCTAATGAGTAGAAAAGTTTTATATCACTTAGTTTAATTATTAATTAGTAATGACTAAGATTGTTTATTTAAACTTATTTAAATTTAGCAAAATGTTTAAACTTTAATTTTACTAATTATTTATTAAGATTATGATATAATTTCATATTTTTATAAGCTTTGATATAGTTATTTTTATCAATTTATAGAAGATACATTAGAAGATTTAAATGATTATGTAAATAAGAATATTATAATTAACTTAATAAATAAAATAGTTTTCTTATTAATTAATAAAACTTAATAATATTATTAATAAATAAAAAGATTTAATGAAATAGGATTTTATAATTTATTTTTTTTGTTTGCTTAAGATATAACATATAAAATAGGGTATGCTGCAATAAATCAAATAAAGTAAATATTTATAAATGAGAGGCTGGTTATGATGTAGCTGTAAAATTAACTAGTATGACTGATGACATTTTAAAAAGTAATAATAGTGCTTATTCATAATTTATGGACTTGTTAATTTAATGTTCACTTTATCATACCAGAATTTAATAAATATAAATCATAACATGATTAATATAGTGTTATCTCTATATAAAAATATAAATATAAAATTCATTTACATTAAATCTATTATGAATTATAACATAATTAGAAGTATTTTAAAAAAAGAGCAAGGTGAAAAAATTATATCTTATATTTATAAAATCAATAATACCAAAATTCTTAAGATAAAAAAAAGATCACTAATTAAATTTACTAATATTTAAATTACTTTCTTAATTTTAATCTAGGTTATTTTTTAACTTCTTTAATTTCAATTTAAGTAATTAGTTAATTATTTTGCTGTTGTAATTGGATTAATTGAATTTTTAACTCACTGATTTTTTTTCATAAGTATTTACTTTATTAACCAATTCTTGAGAAGTTAACTTTTTATATCTTTCTACTTTTGCCTCCAATTTTTTAGTTTATTTAATAATTCTTGCTTTTGTCTTTTACTTCACTTTTTAGACTTCTCTTGAAATTTGATTACTTCCTCTCTTTCAATATCCAATTTTTCTTTAGCAGTTGATAGTTCTCTTTCTAGTTTTTTAATTTTATTTTCTAAATGAATACTGAAAGCTTGTGAAAGTAATTTTTTATCAGAAAGTGGTTTAGTTAATTTATATTTTAAATGATTATAAAAGCATCTATTTCTGTTCCTTTTTAACCTATCACATTTCTTATATTGCGAAAGAATATTGTTATTATACTCTTTCTTACATTTATTATAAATAAAAATTATATCAAAATAATCATTAATAGTATTACAAGCCATTATTTGATGAGTAATAGGTCAGAATAACCATTAATAGTATTACAAACCACTAATTGATGAGTAATAGAAGTAGTATCAAAATTAAGAAGAGTCAGATCATTATAATTTAAAAAATAAAAATTACACTCTTGCTTATCATCTTTTGCTATTTCTAACACTCTATATTCTAACTTCATATTAGTTTACTTATTTTTTTGAATAATAAAAGTTTAGAACTTTTTCTTAGTCTTTTCTTTTACCTTACCATTTTTTTGAATTTATATAATCTATTTTCTTTTTATTGATTTGGTAAAGCTGATAATTCTTTATTTTCTAAGTAGTTTTTTCAATTAACTGTTAAATTATTCTTTAATAAATCTATTTGATCTAGGAGTTTTCTTATTACAGTATCATATTTCAATACAGCCTCAATTATTTAGCACTTTCTTTATTTCATAGCTGTATCTAATGCTTTCTCTGCATCTTCTCACTCCATTTATACTTCATCATCTAATTCTTTTATTTGATCTTCTTTTTCTTTCAATTTTATTTCTAATTTCCTAACCTTCTCTTCATATTTTTGCTTTGTTTAGCATTTTTGTCAAGTTTAATAATTAATTCATTCTAATTACTGATTAACTCATCTAAAGAAAGATATCTAATGTCTAAGCAAAAATAACAACTTCTTTAGTTTATTTCATATCCATTTTCTAATATTTTTTTAATTGTGATTGTGTTCTCTAATTTACCTTCTCTTATTCACTTTCTAAATAATTCTTTGCTTTTTTTAGAATTTAATTTGATTAAGTTGATAAGAATATGATATTTACAGTTCCTGTCAAAAGTAATGACGGTTGAGGATATTGCTTCTTGTGTATACTATAGCAACTCTGTTATCCCAATTTGGCTCATTGTTTATTAGATCAAATTGGATAATGGAATGTTTATATTAAATAAATAATAAAAAAAAATAAATTAATACCCTTTTGAACTTTTTTATTACTCACTGAAATCACAATACCATCAATATCTATTAAAGTGAGCCACAAAGTCATAAAGTTCCTTTGGAATAGGAACGTACAATATTTGAGCTATTTTTTAAAAAAAAATTGAGTAAAATATTAAAATATTAGTTGTACAAAAAAAATTTCAAATGAAATTTTTTTTTAATGAAGAAATGGGAT